TGGGGGCAGAGGTGTAAGTGGTGACGCACGTTTATAACGTGACCAGATTTTCTTCATGGCGTGGGGGATCAAGAGTCACATTTGAGACAGTCACCATCGAGCTCTGCAATACCCAGCATCCTCCGACCATAGTCGCCGGAATTGCACCTACTGTAACTTGAACGCAGAGAGCCTGCAGAAGGACAGTACAAACTGGCATTTTTTCATTGGTAGGTTTGACATCAATTCTGCAATTACTTATCTCAAGATTGATTAAACTGTAAGTAAAGAAAAAGTAAATTCTGTTCTGCACATTTGAGCGCATAATCACATTTGACCTATCCTGACCTTGGACATGTCTTTGCTTCACTCTGTTTCCGATAGATGGCGTGCATATCTGCTCGTATTACATAGACTGGTACCAGTCCACTTCTCGGCTTAGATTACTCGGTGGGGCGGGTGACATCGAAGGTGGGAGCGAGTACTAGTCTAGTTTAGCGCCATTAGGTGATCTTCCCAGCCTGGCCTAATCACGCCACCCACGCTGCAAGGTAGTACTAATTTATAGTTGGGCCTTAACACGCCACCGCCACGCACGCGATTTTTACAAGACGATGAAGCGATTGAAGCGATTGAAGCGATGTAGGCTGTGGCGGGGCCTGAATATAGGCGAGCTGAGAAAAAATTACAATGCGTCCAATGCGCGAACACAATCAAAGCGACACAATTGCGAGATTGAGTGTGGATAATCTTACACAGCACTCGCACACGCTTCCAATCTTTCCAAGGTACCCGCACACCACATAAATCGCGTCCAAAGTTCAATCGGTATCAAACAACATGTTTGATTTGGAACGATGGCAAACCCGCAGTAAAATAAAATCGTTACAAATGACGCGCACAACCTACATCGTTTTCCGGGCTTCAATTCGCTTCATCGGGCTTCTCGTTGATAAAAATCGGCTGCGTTGTGCGCGGTGGCCTTTTAATCAAAAAACCGATATTTGCGTAAGTGCTGTATTTGACATTGTAGTTCCCAACGTACGATCTGCATATAGAGAATGATGTTCATAATATGATTTAAGGCGCGTAAACGTTGTTCAAGGTTAGACTTTGGGAGGTAGCAATTTCACTGTGAAATTTAAAGTCATTCCACGATCACACAAGTACCATCAAACACAGTTCAGTCCTTGGTTACCAGTGCATCAAATCCATGTTTAACCCTCCTCTTGAGGGTCAAAAACAGGTTATCAGCACCTCCTACTCTTCGGCACGTCAGTGGAAAGCCACATTTCATGGTCCTTTCAATCAAGCCATAACGAAATGGGTAGGTCACGCTTGAAACAAAAAAGTTGTTGCAATCGCCTAACCGTCAGACTCGCCTGTGGCCATTGCCCTTTGACTGTGACTCGTCCAATTTTCTCGCACAGCATGATGGCTTTTCCTAGCCATGATGCTATGACACGATGCGTGCCAACCCGCATTCTGGTGATCATCAGTAAGAATTATTGAATTTTTCCATAAGAAATAGGCATTTGTCAGTAAACACACTTTTTGGCTGAAAAATAGCCTTCAGTGCGGTGTTCCCCTTCTTTTTACACCTCTTGACCTTTGACCTTTGACCGCCCCAGCTTCGACATTCCCAACTCGTTCTTCGATTACCCCCCCCCCCCCGAATATCGTGGGCGGTACGTCGCAGCGGTTAAGAATTTGTGCCCAACTTGTTTGACGGAGACGCACGCAGGCAGCGCAAGCACGCAGGCGATCAATGCGATTCTAAAGCTGCATCTTACTACGTCAGACTGCTAATTAAATATATAATGGTGTGTGTGTGTGTGCACGTTGGTGCTGTGTGTGTCCTGTGTGTGTGTGTGTGGTGTGTCCGGCCTGTGTCGTGGTGTGTGCGTGTGTGCATGTGATCGTCGTGTGTCTGTGTGTGTGTGTGCTTATTATCATGTACGTTTCATATATAATTAATATTTAGAACGTTGAAGAAGCACAATTGGTACCTGTATCCTGAGGAAGATGAAGAGAATGTGGAGGATAAGAGAGTAGGAGACGAGGAGATGTGAAAGTGAAAAAAAACAAAAACGAATAACAATAACACAACAAAAAAAACAACACAGAAAGAAGCGAAGAAGGCATATAAGAAGACGAAGATGACTACGAATAAACAAAGTTGCCGCAGAGGCGACAGCCGCTGCACCTGACGGCAGGTGTTCTGATGCTAAAACTCGGGCCAGAACGAATCAAGAGCAACCTCCCATCGGCTCGGTTTTTCGCTCTCCTCTCGTTGGTCTCTCATTCTTTCTCTTTCGCTCTCTCTGCTCTTGCCTCTTTCTTGCCCTTCGGCGCTCTCTCTTCCTCCTCTCTCTCTCGCTCGAAGCACTACACTCTCCTCTCTCGTCTCTCGGATCTCTCTCTCTCTCCGTCCTCGCGCCGCTTCTCTCTCTCGTCTCTCCTTTCTCTCTCTCTTGCTCTCTTCCCCTTTCACAGCTCTCTGCCCTCCCTTCTCTCTTCTGCTCGCATCACACTCACTCTCTCTCGTTGTCTGCTCTCTTGTCTTTGTCTTGTCTTCTTCTTCCTTCTTCTCTCTCCCTCTCTCTCTCTCTCTCCTTTCTCTCGTCTCTCTCGTCTTTCTCCTCTGCACTCTTCGCACGCTGCACTCTCTTCTCTTTCTGCTCTCCTCTCTCTCTCTCTCTCTCGTCGGAGCTTCTCGTCTATCACTCTCTCTCTCGTCTCTCTCTGCTCTCTCTCTCACACACACACTCCCTCTCTCTCTCTCTCTCTCTCATCTCTCATCTCTCTCTCTCTCTCTCTCTTCCTCTCTCTCGCACTCTCTCTTCTCCTCACTCTCTGCCCCTCGCTCATCTCTCTCTCTCTCTCTTCTCAATTTCTCTCTGTTCTCTGGGCGGTAGCGCTCGCCGGACGAGGCTGTACTGAACGACTTGATTGTCTATACAGCATGTCTTGATTGATCTTATCAGGGACTGATTGTCTGTATGGTCTTCTAACCCTTAGCAAGACCGCTTCTCGTGGAAGCTGAGCCAAGGCGGTAACGTTTCTTTTTATATAACCTTTAACATAAATGTTTATACTATACAGCTGCCGCAGAGCGACCAGCGCCTCCATTCTAACGTCTACTGCGTGTGACTCTTGTGGGTATGGTCTTGCAGTGGTGGGCATTTCTAGTTAAACCCTGTTTAGTCCAAATGTGTTCACATACATGCCGATAACAGTGGAATGCACAGGATAGATATCAGGAACCTTTCTCAAAAGAATGCTTCGTTCCGGGGATCGTTAATTGAAAGTTGCCACGAGATGGCGCGTACGTTTATGTGTCTTCAGATTAAAGATGGAACGCTGGCTCCCATTATACGTAGCTAGCCAACAACTATTTGCAAGGACAGAATAGTTAAGCACTCATCCACTTTACCTACACAAGCTACATCAGGCTGCAAATTGCCATAGAGAGCCTGCCACCTTGTAAGCAATTAAAACGCAGGCAAAAAACTGCCCAACACAGTTCACTGGGCAGGCAGCCACGGGTTTGGCAGTCATGGCATACGTACATGCTAACCATTACTTGACAGTACAGAATGACATCGGAAAATTAATACGATCTTAAGGAACTACACCGTTCTAAGCAAATTTAAGCTTTTGCAATGTTCACTGTGGACATTTTGCCCTGTAGCCTCATTCATCCAGCATGGTTGAATAGTCCTTACTAGCAACCCGCGCAGTCAAATTTTGGTGCTAAAGCAGTAACAAAAATCCCAAAGTTAAACTCCTGCACCCTCTTTGCCGGAGGCGTCAAAGGTTATCTCGACAGGCTTACTCCTTCGGCATACGTCAGAGAAGGGACATTCATCGGATCCTTTCAATAAAACCATAAAAATGCTAGTGTCAACCGCTGAAACCATAAAAAGTTTTTCAATCGTCTCCGTCTCAGACCATGTCCTCAGAAAATGTCTAAAAATCTGCCCTGCTGGCCACTGACCTTTGACCCCTTGTGACCTCCAATTTTCCGGCACAGTGATGGCTTTTCTTAACCCATGATGCTATTACACCGACTATCACCGAGCCTAGGTCGGAGCGTATTTTAGGATTTGGGGCCGCCCGTGTGAACGTCTTGGTGCCGGTCCTGTGCCCGCAAACTTCTGCATTTCCTCCCATATACCTTAAGTTAAGAAAGGAATGTTCCGCCTATCTTTACACCTCTTGACCTCTTGACCCTTGACCCCCAAATTTGGTTCATCCAAGTCCTATTCCACGACCCCGCCCCCCCCAAATCCCGAATATTCGTGCACCCGTTACGTCGAGCGCTACGTGTTAGATTTGTGCCCAACTGGTTGACGCACGCACACACGGACGAAGGCGACGAACAGCGACGGGACGGACGATTCATAGCCGATTCTACAAGCTTGCCATCTGACTACGTCAGATGCAGCTATTAAAATATAGTGCTGCTGTGTGTGTTGCGTGTGTGTGTGTTGTGTGTGTCTGTGTTGTGATCTGTGTGTGCGTCTGCTGGTGTGCATGTGCTGTTGTGTGTGTCTGTGTGTGTGTGTGCTTATTACATGACGTTTCATATAATAATTAAATTATTTAAACTTGAGAGCAAATTGTACCTGTATCTGGGAGGAAGATGGAAGAGAGAAGTGGAGGAAAGGAGAGTAGGCAGGACGAGGGGGAGATCGGAGAAAGAAAAAAAACAAAAACATAACAATAACAAACTAAGCAACTAAAAAACAACACAGAAAGAACGAAGAACCGGCAGTTAAGAGACGAAGATGACTACGAAAATAACAATGTGCCGCCAGAGGAAGCGACAGTGCATCACCTGACGCAGGGTGTTCTGATGCTAATCCGGGGGCCAGCACGAATCAAGCAGCCACCCTCCCATCGCCGCTCGTGTTCGCTCTCCCTCGTTCGTCGCGGGCGGCAGTGGTGTGGGTTCCCGAACCCTGTCTCTCATTCTTTCTCTTTCGCTCTTCGCTCTTGCTCTTTCTTCCCTTTCGCAGCTCTCTCATCTCCCTCTTCTCTCGTCTCAATCAACACTCTCTCTCTCTCTCTCTCTTCTCTCTCTCTCTCTGCTCTCTCTCTCTCTCTTCTCTCTTGCTCTCTCTTCCCTTCCGCTTCTCTCCCTCCCTCTCTCTCTCTCGCTCGCTCACACTCACTCTTCTCGTTCACGTCGGTGCTCTCTCTCTTTCTTTGTCTTCTGTCTTCTTCTCTCTCTTTCTCTCTCCCTCTTCTCTCGTCTCCTCTCTCTCTCTCTCTCTCTTTCTCTCTCACTCTTTTTCGCACGCTCTCTCTCTCTTTCCTTCTCTCTCTCTCTCTCTCTCTCTCGCTCTCTCTATCACTCTCTCTCTTGCCTCTCTCTCTTCTTCTCTCTAATCACACACACTCTCTCTCTCTTCTCTCTCTCTCTCTCTCTCTCTCTCTCTCTTACTCTTCTCTCTCTCTCTCTCTCTTCTCTTTCCCTCTCTCGCACTCTCCTCTCTCACTCTCTTCCCCTCGCTCTCTCTCTCATACATATACATACATTACATACAATTTTCTCTCTTTCTCGAGGGCCGGTGGTCTAGCGCTGCCGGGACGAGGCTTTGTACGACTGATTTCTATTACAGATGTCTGATTGTTCTATAGACTGATCTGTCTGATCGTCTTCTAACCCTAGCAAGACGTTTCGTGGGAGCTAGCAACGGCGCGGGTAACGTTTTTATATAACTTAATAAATGTTTATACTTAACAAGTGCCGCAAGAGCGACAGCGTCATCTAACGTCTTACTGCGGTGACTCTGTTGTGGAGTGGTGGGATTACCTTAGTTAAACCTGTTTAGTCCCAGAATGTGTTCAATACATGCCGAAACAGTGGAATTGCACAGAGGATGATTCAGGAACCTTCTCAAAAGGAATGTTCTTGGATCGTTATGAAAGTTGCACGAGATGGGCGTACGTTTAAGTGTTCTTCAGATTTAAAGATGTGAAGCTCCCATCATACGTAGTAGCCAACAACTATTTGCAGACAGAATTAGGTAAGACTCATCCATTTACCTACACAAGCTTACAGGCTGCAAATTGCGAATAGGGGCTTGCCAACCTGTAAAGCAATTAAACGCTAGGCAAAAACTGCTACCAAACATTGCAACTGGCAGCAGCCACTGCAGTGGATACGTTACAATGTTAACATAACTGACAGTACAGATGACCATAGAAAATTATCACGACTTTAAGGAAGCATTACACCTTCATTTTAACCAATTTAGTTTTGAAATTTCACATGTGGACCATGTGACATTGTAGCCTCATACATGGATGTATAGATTCTACTAGCAAACCAGGCAGTCAAATTCTTTCTAACAGTAAACAAATCCATGTTTAACCCTCCTCTTGAGGGTCAAAAGGTTATCAGACACTCACTCTCTATCAGACGCATGTCAGCGGAAAGTACATTTCATGGTCCTTTCAATAAAGCCATAAAAATGGTAGGTCACCGCTGAAACAAAATAGTTTTTCAATCGCTCCGTCAGACCATGTCTAAAATCTGCCCATTGACCTTTGACCTGTGACCTCCAATTTCGGCACAGTAATGGCTTTTCCTACCATGATGCTATACACCGACTATCACGAGCCTAGGTCGAGCCGTTTAGATTTGTGCCGAGGAAATGCAGAATTGCCCTATACCTTAAGTTAAGAAAGGAATGTTCCCCTATCTTTTACACCTCTTGACCTTTGACCTTTGACCCCCAAATTGATCATCCCAAGTCCTTTCCACGACCCCCCCCCCAAATCCCGAATATCGTGACCGTACGTCGAGCGGTTAAGATTTGTGCCCAACTGTTGACGCACGCACACACGGACGAACGGACGAACAGACGGACGGACGATCATGCGATTCTATAAGCTGCATCTGAGTATGTCAGATGAGCTAAAAAGTGAATGAATGCAAAGACAAAGAAGAAGAAGAGGAGGGGAGGAAGAAGGAGGAAGAAGTAAAAAAAGACGAAGAAGGATACAAACCCGAAGAAAAGAAGAAGAAACAGTAGAAAAAAGAAGAAAGACGAGAAGACAATTAAGAAGAAAAAGAAAAAGAATGCAAAGAAGAAGAAGCAGCAGCAGAACAATCGTGTCTCTCACCTGCCTGCCAGTAGTTTTGCGGCGACTCAACTTGGTAGAGGAGCAGGAGAAGAAAAAGAAGAAGAAAAATAATAACAACAACAACAACAACAACAACAACAACAACAACAACAACAACAACATCAACAGCAAAGAAGAAGAAGGCAAATAAGATGATGACGCCAATGAATAAAAAGACAAAGAATGCGAAGAAGAACCAGGAGAACAATGAGCAAGTACACCTACGTAAGCCTACATCTCTCTCACCTGCCTGCCGGCGGCTTTGCCTTGACCGGCGACGACGGTTCGTCGAAGAACGGGTCTCGCGAGCCGTCCATACTCGAGCTGAGCGCGTGATCGAACGCCTTCCTCTCCGCACCGCTCCCCGCCTCCTCCTCCTCCCTCCGCTCCCCTCCACTCTCCGTAGCTCTGTCGCTCCCGTGCGGCTGCGACGATCTCTCTCTCGCCGAGCGCCGACTCCGCTGACTGGCGCTCTTGTCGCTGCGCACTGCAGAGAGGTCATCCGAGGTTAACTTGGGCCGCGGAAGAGAGGTCAGCCGAGATCGAGTTGCTTCGACAGGTTACTATCATATTTCGTCTTATTTCACATTTATTTTGTTATCTTTACTATTATTATTATTATTACTCGTATTATTATTGCTTTGACGATTATCACCGGTCGAATAATCTCACTATATATTGTATTATAATACTGTTGGCATTTTACGTCTCACTATCTTTACTGCAATTTCGAAACCGATCTCGACAGTGACGGGTCTATTCCAACCCCGTTTGGAATCGGAACCCGAAACCTGAATCGGAGAATCGAAACCGAAAATCCAAATCGGAATTGAAAACCGAATTCGAATCGGAACCCAAAACCTGAATCGGAACCAGAAACCCAAAACCCAAATTGGAATCGGAAACGTGAATTGCCGCCAGATGGCGCGCCACGATCGCTCACCGTCGTCGCCGTGCTTGCTTCGCCGACTGCCTTCGCTCTTGCTCGCGCTATTCTCCCCCTTGCTGTGGCTCTTCCCGCTGTGGCTGCTCCTCCCGCTCATCTCATCCGAGATGCTGTTGGATTCAGAGGCGCTACCCCCTCCTTTCGGGTCCTTCTCTATCGATAGCGACTGACTCGTCTGAAGCAGCCGGCATTTATTAGTTAAACGGACAAATGAAAAAGAAAGCAGAAAGAGAGTGAGATGAAGGGAGAAAGGGGGGAGGGGGAGAGAGAGGGAGAGAGAGGAAGAGAAAAAGACAGAGAAAAAGAGGGGGAGAGAGAGAGGGGGAGGGGAGAGAGAAAATGAGAGAGAGAGAGAGAAGAGAGAATGACAGGGAGAGAGGGGGAGAGGGAGGGAAAGAGACAAAGAGAGGAAGAGAAAACGAGAGAGAGAGAGAGAGAGCCAGAAAGAGAGAGTGGAAATGAGAGAGAGAGAGAAGAGATAAAGACAGGAAGAGAGGGGGAGAGGGAGGGAAAGAGACAAAGAGAGGAAGAGAAAACTAGAGAGAGAGAGAGAGAGCCAGAAAGAGAGAGTGGAAATGAGAGAGAGAGAGAAGAGATAAAGACAGGAAGAGAGGGGGAGAGGGAGGGAAAGAGACAAAGAGAGGGAGAGAAAACGAGAGAGAGAGAGAGAGAGCCAGAAAGAGAGAGTGGAAATGAGAGAGAGAGAGAAGAGATAGAGACAGGGAGAGAGGGGGAGAGGGAGGGAAAGAGACAAAGAGAGGAAGAGAAAACGAGAGAGAGAGAGAGAGAGCCAGAAAGAGAGAGTGGAAATGAGAGAGAGAGAGAATGTGTGTGTCGTGTGTGTGTGTGTGTGTGTGCGTTGTGCGTGTGCGTGGTGCGTGTGAGTATGTGCGTCGGTGCGTGGTGCGTGTGCGTGTGGTGTGCGTGTGCCGGTGTGACCATACCCGTGTGCGTGTGGCGTGTGCGTGTGCGTGCTGCTGTGTGCGTGTGCGTGTAGCGTGTGCGTGTGCGTGTGCGTGTGCGTGTTGCGTGGTTGCGTGTGCAGTGTGGCGTGTGCGTTGTGTGTTATGTGTGCTGTGATGCGTGCGTGTGAGTGGGTGTACAGAGAGTGTGTGCGTTTGTAACGAGATAAGAGAGGAGAAACATAGATTCTAGGTGTGTGCGTGTGTGTGGTGTTAAGGCGTTGCGTGAGAGTTGAAATGCTCAATTGAGTACTGCAACACATTTACTTGTAGTAGTAGTTTGTAGTAGATTGGCAGAAGTAGGTAAAATCGTTGTGTATAAATTAGGCTCTAATAAGGTGCGCCGTAGATGTCTGCTATATTCTCAGCCCATGAAATAATGTTGCCATTGCCATACCTTTTATCTTAGTAGAATTCCTTAGGGAAAGAGGCAGCGGAATTCCTCATTGACAAGTTTTAACAACGGACTGTCGGGCTGTTCCCCCTCACAGCTTACAATTATTAAATGTCACTCTAATTATTTTTTTTTACGGCTGCAATCAGGATGACGTTCTTGACGATTGGTATAATCCAATATTTAGTGACATTTGTTCGCATGAAATCGTTTTCTAGTTGGACACGTTTTCTACGTAATTTTTAAGGTTATTGTCAGTTGATCATGACAGAGGTAGTTAGTGCCCCACCGAAAGTGGCAGAAAAGGTACAGTACTAGTTTCTATGTAACTTATCATTAAAATATTTCATTTTCTCACGCAACATTACACAAAAAAACATAGAAAGTATTCGAAAGCAAATACTGGCTTTAATGTGCTACAATTATTTGAACCTTGCTAAGTTTTTTCTGTGCGGAATGTAATTTCGTTCTTCCCTGATTTAACTTGGCACATACATGTATCTTCAGCGCCTCCCTATTTTCTTTTCTGTCTTCTTATCTTGAATGTTCGCCTCTTTTCTCTCTGTTCATCTCACCTGCCTTTATCTCTCTCTCTCTCATCTCTCTCTCTCCTCTCTTTCTCTCTCTCTCTCTCTCTCTCTCTCTCTCTCTTTTTCTGGCTCTCTCTCTCTCTCTCGTTTTCTCTCCCCTCTTTGTCTTCTTTTTCCTCCTGTCCCCTCCTCCCTGTCTTTCTCTCTTCTCTCTCTCTTCTCTCATTTTCTTCTCTCTCCGCCTTCCCCGCTTCTCTCCCCCTCTTTTTCTCCCTCTCTCTCCCTCTCTCTCCCGCTCCCTCCTTTCTCCCTCCATCTCACACTCTCTTTCTTTCTCTCTCTCTCTCTCTCTCTCTCTCTCTCTCCTCCTTTCTGGCTCTCTCTTCTCTCGTTTTCTCTCCTCTCTTGCTCTTCCTCCCTCTCCCCCCTCTCTTCCTGTCTTTATCTCTTCTCTCTTCTCTCATTTCCAGCTCTACTCTTTCTGGCTCTTCTCTCTTCTCTCTCTCCGTTATTCTTTCCTCTCTTTGTCTCTTTCCCTCCCTCTCCCCACCTCTTCTCCCTGTCATTCTCTCTTCTCTCTCTCTCTTCATGTTCTCTCTCCCCTTCCCCTCTCTCTCTCACCCCTCTTTTTTTGTTTTTTCTCTTCCTCATCTCTCCTCTCTCTCCCCCTCCCCCCTTTCCCGCTTCATCTCACTCTCTTTGCCTTTCTTTTTCATTGTCCGTCTTAACTAATAAATGCGGCCTGCTTCAGACGAGTCAGTCGCTATACGATAGAGAAGCGGACCGAAAGGAGGGATT